ACCAGTGAAAACAAGATTGAATAAGGCAGTCTCTAATCACAAAACAAAAACAAAAAACAAAAGGGGAGGAGCAGAAGAAAGAGAGGAAAAAAGCATAGCTTAATGTAAGTAAGTCTTTAATGTTCTAACTCTCTTTCAGTTCCTTCTGAGCTCATCTCCTTGTTGATATGCTGTGGATCGTGACCCACAGTAACCCAGTATAGGGTTTCCAAGGATCAGCTGGTGAGCTTGGACCACAGTCTTTGTAGTTCAAAAGGCTTTGCAGTCAGCCACAGTAGGACTGCTTTGTTATTGATGGTAAACAACTACTCAAGGATGTCTCAGCTTGGGCTGGCCTGTGTTCTTGAATAAGGCAGTCTCTAATAAAAAAAAAAAAAAAAGGGGGGGGAGGGCAGAGAAAAGAGGGGAAAAAAGCGTAGCTTAATGTAGGTAAGTCTTTAGTGTCCTAGCTTTCTTTCAGCACCTTCTGAGCTCTTCTCCTTGTTGTGGAGTTGATTGTGACCCACAGCGACCCAGTATAGGGTTTCCAAGGAGCAGTTGGTGAACTCGAATCACAGTCCTTGCAGTTCAGCATAAACCCACACATCCACAGCAGGATTGCTTTGTTATTGGTGGTAAGCTGGTGAGCTTGGACCACACAGTCTTTGTAGTTCAAAAGGCTTTGCAGTCAGCCACAGTAGGATTGCTTTGTTATTGGTAGTAAGCTACTACTCAAGAGATTCTCAGCTTGTGCTGGCCTGCGCCTTGATGGGTGGGCCTGAGGCTCGGACGCTGGGCAGAGGGCTGGCCTAGGCCAAAGAAGTGGGGGGCGGGGGTAGTGGCTGCAGGCAGATGGTGCATCTGTGTCTGATGATGTCTAAAATGCCTCTCTCTGTCTTCCTGTGCTATGAGCACCCCAATTTGCCCTATATCCAAGCTGACAATGCCCAACGTGGCAATAAGGCCCCCCCAGGAAGGACCACGCTAGTTCCTGTGGCCCCAGTAGCTCTCTAGGAGCGTCCGCCCTCTGAACGGGTCCGCTCAAGCCCTGCGCTCAAAGCTCTGCAATGGGCGGGGCAGTCCCCGGGGTGGAAGCCAAGTGCAGGCGGGTGGAAGGTCAAAATGCTTGTAACTCCTCAGCAGTTTGATTTTTTAAAAAACCAAGCTCATAATGTTGAAACCTAATGTTTTATGTTTGCCCAAAGGCTGTCTATCTACCAGGCGGGGGCCTCCGCTGTGCGATACCACTCTGCTTTCTCTGGAGCCCGCGTATCTGTGCTGCCCGGTCAGGGAAGCACTGGAAGTTCCCTCTCTTCCATTTGCTTTTGCATCTCTATGCTGGAAAGCATGTTTAGCATCTCTTCAGACATTCATTTTATTTTTTTCCTTCTTTCTTGTCTTCTTAATGACCTTTTGCTTTCCTCCTGTATGGTGTTCTTGATGTCATCCTACAACTCCTTTGGTCTTTGGTCTTTAGTGTCTAATGCATTAAATCTGTTCTTGAGATGATGTCTAAATTCAGATGTGATATGTTCAAGGTCACATTTTGGCTCTGGTGGACTTGATTTAATTCTCTTCTGCTTCAGGCTGAATTTGCATATGATATGGAACTTTTCTACCATCTCTCTCCATAGATATAGTCAATTTTATTTCTAAGTATTCCATCTGGTGAGGTCCATGTGTATAGTTATCTCTTATGCTGTTTAAAAAGGTATTTGCAATGAACAAGTCAAAATTCTATCATGCAAAATTCTGTCATGTGGTCTCCAGCATAATTTCTATCACCAAAGTGATTCTTTCCAACAACTGATCCTTCTTCTGTTTTCAACTTTTGCATTCCAATCACCAGTAATTATCAGTATAGCTTGATTGTTTGCTCAATTTCAGGCTGAAGAATTTGGTAGAATTCTTCTATTTTATCCTCAATGACTTTAGTGGTTGTTGCATAAATCTGAATAATAGTTGCGTTAGCTGGTCTTGTAATGTATGAATATTATATCACAAACAGCATTGTACATCAAAATAAATCATGAACTGTTCTTTTTGATGATGAATACGAGCTATTCATTTTTAATTTGTGATTCCTGGCTTAGTAATCATGTGATTGCTAGATTCAAATGGCCAATACCAGTCCAGTTCAGCTCACTTATGCCTAGAATATTGATGTTTATGTGTTCCATTTAACTCTGGTAGCACAGTGATTATGAGTTAGGCTGATAATCTCAAGGTCAACAGTTTGAAACTACCAGCAGTTCGTTCTACTCAATCCTAGTCTGGAAGCTCTGCTGAAACCTGTCCATTATGGATGATATACTGGTATTTAAAATACTGGTAGCATAACTTCCAGAATCACAGCAACATGAAAGTCACCATAATATGACAAACTGACAGATGAGTGGTGGTTATAACTATGTAGGATTCTTATTTTCTATGTGAGTTTTGGATAATTCAGGTTTTTTTGTAGCTTGTCTATAAAGTGGTAATGAAAATACAGCTTCACTGAGTGAAGACTAGGTAAGATAGATGCAAGTTACTTAGTGTATATCACAGTTATGCTGGATTCTGAAATAGAATTTAGTGTCTGTAAAGATATTAAAAAATCAGATTATATTTTTCCTTTTCACTAGGTGCTATGATATCAAATCATGCTGTTCATGCACTGAATTGTCATAGTCAGAGTGATGCTAGACATGTTCTTTCATCCATGGAAACATTTTATATTGAAGACAGTCCTTCTACAACTTTAACTGGTAATATTACACACAATGCAGAATGTTATATTGGATGGAAAAAATTTGGTTGGATATAATGTCTCAATTTCTTATATTGCCTTGAGGTAAAAAATGATAATAGCAATATGTTTGGTTCTGCACTGTAGTCGGAAGATAAAACATTTTTATATTACTCTTTTTAGGTATTACTGAAGAATTTATTACTGCACTGTTTTACTTCTATAGAAGAATGAATGAACTTAATATTACTAATACTGAATATGCTCTGCTTGCAGCAACAACTGTGTATTTTTCAGGTAAAGAGAAGTTGTCACAGAACTAGTAAAATTTTGGATTGTTTGGCAATGTAATCATGATACTTGTGGCAGCTATATTATGAAATTATTCATTGTTGCCAAATGTACCAATTTTATTTCATCAAGATTCCCTTGTCTGCCAGATTAGATTATTCTCTTCTGTTTATGAATATGCTGTAATTTCTTGCATCTTCAAAATGCTTTCTTGACCCTTTTCAGCTACTTTCCAATTTTTACTTTACAGAATTTTTTTTTTTTGAAATAGCTGTCTACACTCCTGTCTTCATTTCTTTCCTATTCACTCTTGAACCCATTACAATTAGATTTTTTTCCCCCAGTTTTTATTGTGAGATTTACATGGGAGACATTAGCTTTACACTCATCCTATCGTATTTTGTTTCATTGCAATGATTACAATCCCCTCCATGCATCATCAAATAACCAAAGGCTACACCACACAGGCCTGTCCCCCGGCCACCAGCACACAGCCCTCTCCCCTCCCTGAGTCCAGTGTCCCCAGCCACTCCATCTGTCCACGTCATCATCTCTGTCTCCATCCCTGGTGTCACTGCCTCTCTGGATAGGGTCCCACTCTCCATTCTTCTTACTTGATGGTCCCAGGGACCTCTGCTCCTGGGCTGCAAAATCAATCACTCTCTACAATTAGATTTTGACCTCTTGTCTCTACTCCACCGTAATTTGCCCCAATCTGCATTAATTTGTCCATTGCAGATCCCAATACTCAGTTATCAATTCTCAATTTACTTGACTGATTAGCTGTATTTGATATAACAGATCGCTCTCCCCTGTAAAAACACTTTCTTCAATTGACCTAAGTGATTGCTCTCTACCTTCTTGACATTTCCGTTTTTTCCCCTACTTGATTTCCGGTATATCACACTCGGAACGGATTTAATGGTAACTAACAACAACAAACACTCTTGATTTTCCTTCCCTGTAGCTGCTCTTTTTCAGTCTCCTTTGTTAATCCCTCCTCCATTTCCACAGTGGTAAATGTTGGCGTGTCCTAGGTCTTAGTCCTCTTTTCTTTGTACCTACTTCTTGGCAATTTCATTCAGTCTCATTGTTTTAAACCCCATCTATATGCTGACTACTCCCAAATTTGTATCCCAATTTAAATTAATCCCCTGGACTCCATGAGATAAACGATACAACATTTCAACTTGGATATCTGTCTAATAAAAAAAGCAAAGCAAAACCCCATTGCGGTCTAGTTGATTTCAACCCATAGCAACCCTATAAGATGGAGTAGAACTGCCCCATAAATTTTTTGAGACTAATCTTTATAAAAGCAGACTGCCACAACTTTCTTTTGCAGAGCAGTTGGTGAGTTTAAACCACATGTCTCTGCAATCAGTGGATGGCTACAAGTCTCATTAGAGTGCTTCCAAAAAAGGAATACTTTCTTTTATGCCATGAGAAAAATTTTGGCGGCAGTGCTAATAACAAATTTTAAACAAAACTAAAGTGTCTATCTTCCACAATAATTGAAGCTTTGCAACAAGTGTATAGGAATTGCTGCCCCCCCCCCAAAAAAAAAAACAGTGTTTAGATGAATCAAGAATTTTGAGGAAGGTTGGGAAGACCTTCAAACTTGGTGAATGAAGAAACTGTTACTGAAGTCCAGAAATTGGTGGAAGTAGACCATAGAGTTACCAAATATGCTATAGCTATTGACATTGGTAAGGAGCTCTGGTAGCGTAGTGGTTACGAATTGGACTGCGAACCTCAAGGTTAGCAGTTTGAAACTACCAGTTGCTCCGTGGGAGAAAGATGAAGCTTTCTGCTCCTGTAAAGATTTACAGCATCGGAAACCCTGTTCAGGGTCGCTATGGGTTGGAACTGACTTGACGGCACTTAACAACAACAACATTGATATTGGTATTTTATGGAGTTTGGCATTTTCAATTTTAAGTGAACATCTTGGCCATAGCATCATTTCAGCTTGATGGGTGCGAAAAGCCTTTGGTGAAGATCAGTTGGCTCAAAGAGCTGATCTTTCTATTAATTTTTAAAGCAAGATTGAAGCTAATGAAGATGACTTTATGAAATTAATAATAACCAGAGATGAGCCTTCGGTTTACCAATATGATGCAGAGAGCAAGGTCCAATGAAAACAGAGGTTTCTAAGGGGAGCAGTTTGACCAGTTAAATTCAATGCAGAAAGGTCAGTTTAGAAAGTTATGGTGACTGTTTTGTGGCTCCCAAAGTGGTTATCTTGTTAGATTTTCTTGAAGGGCACAAGACAATCACAGGGATTTCTTATGAATTTTAAGAAAATTGAAAACTACGTTGGTGAGAAAAAGGCCCTAAATGTTGTGCTAAAGAATTTTATTATTTTTCTTAACACCATGACAGTGCATCGGCTCATTCTTTGAGGGTAGCAAGGGCTGCCTTATGAGAATTTTTCTGGAAATCTTACTCTATTCAACCTACAGTCCTGCTCTTACCCCTTCTTTTTATTCCCAAAATTACAAAAACATTTAAAAGTAACAAAATTTTGTTCCTTGAGGATGGCAAAACTGCCATTTTGATGTGTAAATTGAAGAATTCTTAATGGAAGGGTTAAAGAGATGAAAACACTACCTTCTGAAATGTATAGATGAAGATAGAGGATATGCTGAGAAACAACAGTTTCTCATTTTGATATTTTTGTTTAACAAAGGTTCCTAAGATCTTGCAGTAATACTTTTCCTTTCCTCATAATGTAATTCCTTCCCTCATAACTCTTCAATGGCTTTATATGATACAAAGATAAAAGCTAAAGTTTCCCTCATTACACAAATTTTTGCTTACTTTATTCTAGTTATTCTATGGTTCCATGACAGTTACCATATAGTATTTAAAAATGTAAAATGTGTGTATATTTATTTCTACCCCACTTCCTCCCAAAGCCAGAATGTAAGTTTAATGAGGGTGAGAAATTTTGTCTGTTAGCTGCTATGCTTCCAGCACAGTAACTGTATGAATGAATTTGGTCTATTATAAAGTCTTGGTTGATTCTTATATGTTATAACTAGCTACTTACAAAGTTTTTTGCCTTTTATTTGCTGCAGGCCTTGTGGAAATTACATGATCTTTTTAAGTTTTAAGTAGCTCTTGGTTGCCCTATATCCTCAGAACTATGTATAACCCTTCTTTTCTCTGTGACTTTATGGTAATTTTTTTTTTTTTTGGTAGCTCATCTATAAAGTTGTAGTGAGAATACAACTTCATAGAGTGAAGACTAAGTAAGATAGATGCAAGTTATCTAGCATAATAGCTGGAATATATTGAGGAATACATATAAGTATTACTATTCTATTATTTTAAAAAAACTGTATTATTTGAAATGATCTTCTATTACTTTCCAGTATACATTAAGATAAATATGATGATGTTTTTCAGATCGTCCATGCCTTAAAAATAAGCAACGTGTGGAAAGTTTACAAGAACCAGTTTTACAAATTTTGTATAAATATGCAAAAATCTATCATCCAGACGATCTACAGCATTTTGCTCATCTCATAGGGAAGCTTACGGAACTGAGAACACTGAATCACAACCACTCAGAAATACTTAGCACTTGGAAAACAAAGGACACTAAATTGACTAATTCACTTTCTGAGAATTGGGATTTCTATTAACATTGCTGAAATTCTAGAATGTTGTGATTTTTCTTAAACTTCTTTAATCTGTATTATCTTCTCTATCTATTCTATCATCATAGGATGATTGATTTGAAAAACATGAACAGGGTTATTGTTACCAACAATTCATAAAATGGACATCATTGTTGCTGTTGTTAAAAGCTGTCAAGTCAGTTCCAACTCATAGCGTTTCCAAGGAGCAGCTGATGGGTCTGAACTGCCAACCTTGTGGTTACCATACCAGTGCTTATCCTACAGTGCCATACCAGTATGCTCATCAAATTTTGTGTATTATAAAAACCACCACTAGTAGGACATCTAGAACTCTTTTCAAAGTTAGATTCAAGAGAAACAATTGTTGTGTACCCTTGGATTGGTTCTGACTTATTATGACCCTGTATAGTTTTTGAGAGTTGCTGACCTTGCGGTTTACCAGTCCAGTGCTTATCCTATAGCGCCACACCAGGGCTCTTGTTAAATTATGCTTTCTTTATGAGGAAATAATGCGAAGCAGAGTTCTTATCTGAAGAAATTTCACTTTTTCCATTTAGTAGAAAATAGAATGAAAAGACATATCGATTTATAGATAAGAGAAAGAGTAGCTAGAAGAAACTGCTATGAGAATGAAGGTAGTTTCTGGACTTCTTTCATTGAGGCAAGATTGATGGTTAGCAATTGAAACTAATGAACTAACCTATTCCTGTTACAGCAGTTTATAAATTGTTAAAGGGGAACAAAACTTTGTTTAATGTTCACCTTTTTTTTAAACGTTTTTTTTTAAAAAAAAAAAAGAGATCCTTTGTAAGACCAAACTAGAAAATTTGTGATGGCAAGACAGTCAAACAATTAAAATAATAAATCATCAAAAGGATTTTATATTTAATAATTTATTTCTCACTCTGATGGACAGTATTTGAACATTTCCCCCACATCTTTTGTAATATAAATGAAGTTCTAATAAGATAAAATTCTTAAAACATGAAATCTTTCCACAAATATTTTAGCGCTTGTGGAGGACCAGAAATTAATGTTATGTGAAATAAATGAAAATGATAAATTCTATGTTGGAAGTATTGTTTTGAAAAACTGTATATAAGTAAATAAAATACCATGAGTTTGAAATAATATATTATTAAGAATGTTGTTGTTAAGTGCTGTCAAGTAACTTCTGACTCATAGTGACCCTGCATAGCACTTTTGAGAAGCGGCTGGTGAGTTTATACCGCTGACCTTGTGGTTCAAACCAACCTTGCAGTCTAGTGCATTAACCCGCAGTGCCACAACATAGCAATGTGATTTTTGATTAAAAGGAGAAAAGAAAAGACTGTATGTGAATTTTTCATTATTGTA